CCCCTTAGTACGCCACTGGGTATGTCCAGTCTTTTGTAGTAGCCACAAACGCTGGCCAAAGTTAGCGTTTTTATTTGTTTTTTGCATTTTTTAAAACAAAAACTGCACTTTTACTGGTGATTTCATCATCGTGATAAATTTTACTGTTGTAAACACTCATATTTGTGTTCAGCAAAGTCTCCTGAGTATAACAATACACCCTAGGTACAGGTTTTATGGTAGTTTGAAAAGGTACAGGGTCAATAAAGGGCTTGCACAATTCAGTTTGCCAGATTGGTTTGCTGGGTCTGTGTTGCCCTTTGAGGCCATATGGTAGCCCAGGAATGTGAAATAACTCCATCATGGCATACCATTTTCAAATGTAGATAACCCAGGGCATTCCAAATGGGGTATTTCCAGTCTTGTATTAGCAACTTAGTCACAAACGTAGGGCAAAGTTAGCGTTTTTATTTGTTTTTTATAAAAAAAAATTGTTTAAATTTATATTATATATATATATATATTTTTTTTTTTTTACTTTTTAGCAGCCTGGGGGACCATCTGACAGCTTAGACAGTCCCATTGCTGGCACCTCCTAGACTCCTATTGCGGTGATGTGATCATGGTGGCCGGAGCTGCTGCAGGGGGACTACTTGGGTCTTCTGCAGTCCCCCCTGACCGTGATCGCCGGTCCAGGTAAGTCCAGGGCTCCTTAACAACTGTTTTTTTGTTGGGTGTATGTAGTACATCCACAGTCGTTAAGGGTATATACATAGATATTAATATATATATATATATATATAATTTTATTCTAAGTGTATTTTGATATATATATATATATATATATATATTAATATCAAAATACAGTTAGAATAAAATTACATATACACCCTGTTCCAAATTATTATGCAAATTATATTTTTCTCATTTACCTAAATAATCGATGTAAATAACAGTCCGCATAATTCTCATGTTCTCAACTATTAAGAGTACAATTCAAATTTTATTGAACAAACCTCCTGATAACAGTATTTTTTTTAAACATAAAAAACTTACAATGCACTGTTCCAAATTATTACAGTAAGTTTCAAAACACTTTACAGGTTGTAAAGAACTGAAAATTGTAATTTGTTGTGTTTGCAGCATATTTACTGAAATCAAAAGCTATTTCAATCAAACTTATAACAACATTTTAACTTTTTAAACTTTTTAACAGGTCTCGTTACATTTTAACATAGGACCCCTTATTTGATAGCAGCTTCACAAGTCTTGCATCCATTGAACTTGTGAGTTTTTGGACAGTTTCTGCTTGAATTTGTTTGCAAGATGTCAGAACAGCCTCCCAGAGCTGCTGTTTGGATGTAAACTGCCTCCCACCCTCATAGATCTTTTGCTTGAAGATTCTCCAAAGGTTCTCAATAGGATTGAGGTCAGGGGAGGATGGAGGCCAAACCATGACTTTCTCTCCTTTTATCCCCATAGCAGCCATTGATGCAGAGGTATTCTTTGCAGCATGAGATGGTGCATTGTCATGCATGAAGATGATTTTATTACGGAAAGCATAGTTCTTCTTTCTGTACCAGGGAAGAAAGTGGTCAGTCAGAAACTCCACATACTTTGCAGAGGTCATCTTTACACCTTCGGGAACCCTAAAGAGGCCAACCAGCTCTCTTCCCATGATTCCGGCCCAAAACATGACTCCACCACCACCTTGCTGACATCGCAGCCTTGTTGGAACAGGGTGGCCGTCCACCAACCATCCACTATTCCATCCACCTGGACCATCCAGTGTTGCACGGCACTCATCAGTGAACAGGACTGTTTGAAAATTATTCTTCATGTATTTTTCTGCCCAATGCAGCCATTTCTACTTGTGAGCATTGGTTAGTGGTGGCCGAATAGAAGGTTGCAAGACTCTGGAGGACTCTACACCTTGATGTCCGTGGGACTCCAGAGGCACCAGCAGCTTCAACTATCTGTTTGCTGCTATGTAATGGTATTTTAGCAGCTGCTCTCGTGATACTATGCATGGATCTGGCAGAAATCTTCCTCAATGTGCCTTTATCTGCACAAACCCGTCTGTGCTCTGAATCAGCCACAAATCTCTTAATAGTGCGATGATCACGCTTAAGTTTTCGTGAAATATCTAATGTCTTCATACCTCTTCCAAAGCATTCAACTATTTCACGGCAGCAGAGAGATCCTTTTGATTCCCCATATTGCATGAAAATGGTGCTCTGCTTAATAATGTGGAACACCCTCCTTTAGTATTGTTTCCTTAAATATATATAAAATTTAAAATATATATTTTTACAGTTTATTTAATTTTCAGTATTATTTATTTTTTATAATATACATAATATATATAGTTATTATATATGATATATATATATATGTGTGTAATTTTCCTCTAAGTGTATTTTTATATTATTATATGTATATATTAATAAAAATATACACTTAGTATGACGTTATATATAAGATATATATATATCTCATATAAACTTATACTTTTTTTATTATCTTTTATTTATTATTTTTTTTAAACTTTTTTTTTACTTTTTAAAAACTTTTTTCACCAGCAGGGGGATTGCCTTTCAGTTCAGGCAGTCCCCGTGCAGGCAGCACTGTGGACACCTATGGGGGCCATGTGACCGCTGTTTTAGACCGTTTTTTGTCGGACGTACCTGATGCGTCCATGGTCACTAAGGGGTTAAACTGGGTTGTCTGTCTAATGGGTCAGATCACCTGACACAGATACAAACAAATAAACTATTTTCTATTCAACCAGGACATACTTGAAAACGAGTGAAATCTCAATGTATCCTTCCTGGTAAAATATTTTATAAATAAATAAATGTAAGCAAATCAAACAGTTTATCTCATTCATCACACAAAGACATAGCCGAAACTGACGTTCTCTGAGGAAAAAATTTACCATACTGAGTAGAAATACATATTTCTCATGTTTCATCAAAGCAATGGCAATAATTCCATTTTTACTTTTCAGAAAATGTCTTAGGCTACCAATTTGACAGTCAAATTAATTACCCTTGGCCATCTCTTTCCTGGAGGATGTCTGCTGGTATAAGATACCCAATGTAACTTCACAACATTTTTGTAACTTTTTCTTACACACAATTAAGGGTATTCTTTTAATCTTAATTTAGAGCTCATATTTAACCATAAAGAAAACCATATACCTGCATCCTTAACCTAATACCTACAGTTAACCTAATCCCTAGAGTGTGCTTTTTGTCCATCATTTTAGCATATAGCAGGAGAGATCGATATCCCTAAAGCTCCACTTACTGCCTGACATGCTGGTAAGGTTAGACCTCCTTCACTGCCACCATCCTGCCTAAGCACCAAGGGCTGCCATTAAGTAGGGGCAGCCACGCTGGCCACTAGGAGCATTCCTTAATGAGTGTGTCCCACTGACCCACAGCCTTACCAGCTACTCCTTCAGTACTAGCACCAGGACCAATCCTAGAGTCATGGACGCCTAGGTGCAAGAATATTTTTGGTGACCTCCAAGTAAGCGTGGTTTTATAGCTAACTCCTCCTCTTGGTTGTTATTGGGGGGTTAGGAAATGTAGTGAGGGAATGGCTGCAGTTGGGGAAAGAGGCTGTTGTGTGGATAGTGGATGTAAAAGGTGGTTAGGGACGGTAGTAGGTGATAAGGGCAAGAGTTGGGAGTAAGGGGTGTAGTGGACCCCTGTGGTAGCCCGACAAGTTACCTCCGCTAATTCCCTTCCTTCAGCCATTCAGGAACCCTTACAACAAGCAGGCATCCATTTCCCCCCAGTAACTGGACAAGGCCTAGTTCTGGAGGTTACAACACTGACTGACTGACCTTGTTTATTTTCTACACATGGATTTTACAGACATAAGCCCCTACATGGGGTCTCCAACACAAAAACAACAGGGGTTTCAATCCCAAGAAGCTGAAGGGGGAGGGAGGAAGGACAATGCATCTAGGTTAAACTGGGCTGGCAGTGTCTCTGTGGCAACGTCCTGCTGTGACAGGAAAAGGGAGGGGGAAAGGGTGAGAGACACAGACAGCAATACATTTCACTTCTATACTTTACAGAGCTGCTGCATATACAGGCACAATACACAGAAGGCATAGATATGCATGGGGAAACACAGAGGGACCACATGATACAAGAGGAAAACACACAAATATGCAGTGGGCATGGTACTTAGTGATGGAGGTTTGTCAAAAGGGGCTTTAGTGCAAGGGAATGGGGAGTGGTTGCGGTAGAGGCTATAGTGAGGGATATTCATTGAAATTGGGATGACATGGGCTGTAGTTGGAGAGATAGTGGCTGCATTAGGGCTGTAGTGGGGGGATAGGAGTTGCATTTGGGGGGATAGGGACTGTAATGTGTGATAGGGACTACATTTGGTGTATGTGATTGTAGTTGGTGGATTATAGTAGGGTTAGGGGCTATTGTAGTGGGGGGATAGGGACTGCAAATAGGGGGCAGAAGCTGCAGTGGGAACAAGGGACTGTAATAAAGGGGCTGGGGGCTGTAGTATAGGGGCTTCAGTGAGGGAATAGGGTCTGATGTCATTATAAAGGCTGATGTCTTAAATATAAGAGCTGTAGTAGGAGGTTAAGGGGCTGCAGTGGGAATAAGGGATTTTAGTAAAGGAGTTGGGGGCTGCAGTAGGTTATAGGGGCTGCTGTATTGTTAAAATGGCTGTAGTAGGGGTTATAGTGCCTGTCGTAGGGAGTTAGAGGCTGTAGTAGGACATAGGGGCTGCAATTGGGGATTAGGGCTGTAGTAGTAGTAAGAGGCTCTAGTAGGGCATAAGGGCGCTAGTAGGGCAACTGGCAATAGGGGCTGAAACAAAAAGCATTTATTTATTCCCTCATCCCTGAGGCTTACCTTGGGCAAGAGGGGGGGAATTCTGATCCCTGTTGGTCCCAGGAACTGAGTGCAACAGGTAGAACATAATACAAGGGGTGGAGCCTAACACAAGGGGCAGAGCTGAGTGCTGCATTCCCAGTCGAAGCGCTTCTATCTACAGAGCATTTGGGCACTGTCCACTCCGTGCATCCACACAGGATGGGCTCTGACTAGCACACATGAATAGTACAGGGATTATCTTTCTGCTGAAAGTGAATCATGACGGAAGTTAAAGGGCTCCCCTTCTTTCATGGACAAAGAAGCTTCATCCTACAGCGATCAACTGAGCAATCAGGAGGGAGATTTTAACATTATTATTATTAGTAGCAGTAGTAGTAGTAGTATTTATAAAGCGCCAACACGTTCCGTAGCGCTGTACAATGGGTGGACTAACAGACATGTATTTGTAACCAGGCAAGTTGACATGCTACTAGCATAAAATCCAACAAAATGAGGTCTGCTAGAGAGTAAAAATAAGAAAAAGTGGGGATTCAAATCCCTGTGGCAAATAGAACCCAATATTAAATGCAAGAGTCCAGAAAAGACCATAGTAGAGGAAGGTGAAGTGGAAGTATGACCACTGCTGTTTGTAATGTTTTTTTTGGGGGGACGAGGGATTGTTATAGATGGAATACAGTTTTTCTATTGTTTTGAATAAATAGGTTTAAAAAAAAAAAGTGCAGCTATATTTTTACTTTACTGTTTATCTTTACCTCTAAAAGGGGTATGCAGTTTCCAACAGAAGACATTGGCATCCTGCATTATTGCACTATAGAGGTCACTGAGGAGAACTGTAAGTGTAGAAGACCACATTGGCCGCTAATTGCAAAGAAATGTGTTTTCCTCAATACATCAGCTACCTTGGCTGTACAATTAATAAAAAATACTACTTTAACTTAAAACAATATATACAAAACCTCCCCATAGCTTTACGGACTAGAAGAGATCATCCATGAAAAACAGTATAGTATTTTTGAGGATACCTAATTAAAAAATAATAATAAAAACAAATTAATAAACAAAACAGGTTAATGACTCATACACAACACTCTAGGAGCTGAATTTGAATAAGAACCAAGTCTGTCTTGGTTCTCACAGGGAAAGAGCCTGTAGTGGCTGTCAGCCAGACCGCTGCAATGGAGTTTTTACATTGAGATGAAGTGGTCTGGATGCCTTTAGTCATGTTAATAGTAAAATTTGGTAATTTGTTAGAGGATATTGTGCTATTCTAAGGCTACACAATAATTGTGGAAGTGATAACTGAGACTGGATGGAAATAGAACCCACAGAAAGTCAATTTTGCAGGACCAATCAGTAGACTTGAGAAGCTCTTCCATATGACAACTCAAGAAAAGCGCTTTAGAAGTCATCGCTCTTCTGCCATTTAATCCAACAAGTTAAAGTGACAGTAGAAAATGATGAACGATGAGATGTGCTTAAAGCAAGAAACAATTCGGAATATGAATGGTCTCTGAAGGATGATGTTCTTGACTTATATTTTTGCAGATAGAAAACAGAACAAAGTTTTGGTTTCTCAGTAAAGCATACATAAAATCTGACTAAATAAAAGTCTTCATATGAAATAACATAATAGAAGTATAGCGCTTCACTGAAATAAATGAAACACTAAATCAATGTGACATCAAAAATTTCCAAAGTGCTAGTGCAATTAAATGACTCTTGATTAACAAACATGTAAAACAATTTAGGTGCTTATAGTGTTACACACTACATAAAAATACACTTTTCAAAGTGACGGGCAATACAAAATTCCACACACAAAATTCCACAAGTGCTGACATAAAAATAAATACTCAGCAGTACTTAGGGTTTCCAAGTGAGTCACAGAACATCAAAAATAAAAGTAAATAGCAAACAATAGTGCAATATGTACAATAACAGTGTTAGACACCCACATTTTTACAGATGCCAACTTACATGGAATAGAGCCCAGGACTGGCTCTATTTGAATGCTCTGGAGTCTTAGGAAAAAGGTGCAGAACAATATAAACATCCCACAATGACAATTATCTTAGTTGAGACAGTCGGGCAAATTTGATGCCATGTAGGAGACAGCAAACCAAATAACTTTTTTCCGGTTAAACTGGTGAAATCAACATGACCAGTGCATATAGCCGAATGATATAAATGAGCTGTTCAATATGCCAGACCCTGTTCTTTTTCAGGGTCCCAATCTCCTTCCAAAAATTCAAGATTTGACTGTGGAATGCTTAAGATTAAATAAAATATATGTATGCATGAAAGTCCTTGGCACAGGTGATGGGTTTTCAGATGTTGGAGAGCTCAACAATGGAGGGGAACTGAAAAAAGGCCTGAGAGGCCCACATTAAATTGATCATTCTGGCATGAGGACAACCTGTGATAAAGGTTCGCAATAACATCTGTTATTGTTTTTAAGAAGATGGAAAGCAGAGAGATTATTGGATAAAGTTGATGCTAAAGCCTTACTAGAGGACCTGAAGTAAATACTGATGCTGAGGTTCATCTCAAGGCATATGCCATTCTATATTTTGGGAACCAGGAGCAGGTTGCAGAGAAAACCAGAACTAATACAATGGACCCTTGCATGTCTTGGAAAACCAGAAGTTTGTCTCATTGGAAAGAAACAATTCTACAAAGAAGCAAAGTTTGCACTGGACAGGTAAGGAATTAAATGTGGTAACCGTGTACTGCTTGTAGAACTCATGCATCAGAGGTCATAGATGCCCAAACTTTGGAAATAAGGATAAGTCTGCCCCTCAACCTTTTCTAGAAAAAACAAAATTACATGACAGCGGACTTACATAAAGACTTCTTCCAGTGGAAGATCCGCTGGCTCCATGACTTTGCTATGGGGGCCACACTGGCGAAGGAAGGTGATCAGTGGTTTAGTATTCTAAGTCAAGGTTCGGTGTCCCTGAAAGGAATTTCTAAACTTTTGCATGGCCAAGTGTTCCCATGATCTACAGGTCCCACTGAAAACCTTACCGTAGGAGTGAGGCTATTTATTCAGCTTGCACTTTCTCTAAGGAAGTGATTGTGCTTACAAATGTAACACAAATGTAAATTATCTCTAAACACGACACCTTTTGTTAGCTGAGTAAAATAGCCTTGCTGCATTCAGTGGCCAGAGCAGTATTTAGATTGCTGTTTAATTTTAAACATTTATCTCAGCCTCTGAGAGTATATCGATCAACATTATCACAAGCAATAGCTGCTTCTGATATTTGTAAATATTTTAGATGGGGACGTCTAAAATTTTAACCTGGCACTTTTGTAGGGAAAACTCCAGACCCTTCTTTGACTTTCAACCAGTTTAACTAAAAAAATGGGAATTTGGGGGTCCATATCTGGTGCACACAATTGACGAGCAATGCCATCTAGCTTCAAGGTAGAGACTTCAATCTCAAAGCCAAGTTGTATAACAAAATAGCTAGGTGAGTTGAAATGGCCTTTACCAAGGCTATCTTTCCCTTATTGCACTTATAGCCTTTATTTTCTACATTTTTAGAGGGAAGACCAACTTATCCATAATGCGGCCTTAGAAAAGCATGACCAGTTCCTTTGTCTTGTTGACTATTTAAAACGGCAGTACTCCAGAACTGCACAGAGGTACCACTAACAGCATTTTCCACAGTACAGTCAGTGCACGCCAGAAAAGCAGCAGCACCTCAGCACAAGGTTTTAACTGTGAATGCTTGAACTTTCCCCTAGGACAATGGGACAATCTGAACTGTATCATCAGGACTAGGACTGTTTTTAAATTTCTGCTGTGTTTTGTGTAGCTGCAATTTTCCTCTTACTCATTTACTGTACCCACACATGTTATATATAATTTTCTCACCATTAAATGGTCTTTCTAAAGATACCATTATTTGCATCATATCATCTAATTACTTTGAAAAACCTTTTTCTAACTTTGACATCAAAATTAGTTACACATCTCCAGCCGCCCAAAAACATCCATGCTAAATAGTTTCTAAATTTTGTCCTGAGTTTAGAAATACCCACTGTTAACATGTTCTTAGCTTTTTTTTTGCAAGTTATAGGGCTATAAGTACAAGTAGGATATTGCTGTTTCAAAATATATATTTTTAAAATGTATCAATAGTGACATCGTAACACTGTTATCTGTCATTAATCTCTGAATCACACCTCACATGTACAATTTTTTTTGAAGTAAACAGCCCGGTGTATTCAATATGAGGTATGTCCAGTCTTTTTTTAGTATCCACACAAACACTGGCCAAAGTTAGCATTTATATTTGTTTGTGTGTTAAAAATGCAAAAAAACTATTATGAACGCTAACTTTGGTCAGTGTTTGTGACTAAGTGGCTGCTAAAAAAGACTGAACATACTCCATTTGCAATACCTTGGGTTGTCTTCTTTTGCAAGTGGTATTCCATCATGGGGGTAATTCTCATTCCTCGGCTGCTCTCAAAGGCAACATTTTGTGTGTGAAAAATGCAAAAAAAAGTCACTTTCACTGCTAATATCATCGCTGTGATATAGTTTACAGTTTGGAAACACTAATATTTTCTGTTCAGGAAAGTTTCCCAAGTAAAACAGTACCCCTATGTACAGGTTTTAGGGTGTCATGGAAAGTTACAGGGTTAAATACAGTGCTAGCAAATTAAATTGCCTGGACTTTTGGTCTAGGTTGCAATCAATAAAAATTACTTAATTATGTAAAAACATTACATAAATATGCACGTATAATTTAAATATGTATACATATTTATATATTTGAAGTCTACGTGTATATTTATGAAAGTATTTATGTAATTATGTGGATGGATATATATATATATATATATTTATATATTTTGTATTATTTTTATTTAATTATATATACATATATATATATACATATATATATATAATATCATTCTAAGTGTATTTTGATATACATATATGTATATTAATGTTAGAATAAAATGACATATATATATATATTTTTTTTTATTATTTTGACATTTTTGTATTATATATATTATATATAAACGTGTGTATTTTTATATTAATATGAGATATATATAAAAATAGTATGACATTATATATATAAATAAATAAGATATATACATATTATATATAGATAGATATTTTTTTATTAACATATTTATTTTTATTTTAACAGAAGCAGGGAGACTGTCAGTTTAAGCAGTTCCCCAGGAGGCATTACTATGGACGCCTATTGCGGCTATGTGATCACTCTTAGGGGACCTAATTTGCCAAGCGGGGACTGTCTGGGTTGTCAGTCAGTTCCCCCAAATAAGGAGCAACACCGATCGCGGGCTGGGGAACGGCAGCGATCAGGTAAGTAATAAGGACAGCTCATATTGGCTGCGGACATACTAGGTACGTTCGCGGTCCTTAAGGACCATCTTTTGTCGGAAGTACCTAGTACGTTCACGGTCCTCAAGGGGTTCAATTGCAAAAAATTATGGGTTTTAACCATCAGCTTCATCACAGCCCTGTTTTATTTCTTCAGTAAATGGTTGCATAGCTTTCAGTTCCTTGTGACCAGTCTCATGCTCAAAGATGCACTCGATATGAAACATATTACACCCCTTTATATGTAATTTTTTTTTTTTTTTATACTATACATATACCAGAAAGGCAGTGTTTTTTTCTAGGTATAGTTCCCTGTATTGAAAAGAACTGCAGATTGTATTGCTTTACAAAAATGACAATAATATCGCAGTATAATATATCTCTACGTAAATCCTTCCTTCTTATGCTGCTGTTAGATTAAAGTAGATATTCCTTTTTCCTTTATAATAGCGCATATTTGGGGCAACTGAAAATATCTGTATCATTTTCCTCATTGAACAATAGGTGGAATAATTTGTACGGTATTACAGAAAACATATATTATAGATTGGGGTCAGTAGACTTTATAATTCACAGCTGGACTATGGATGAGTTTGTCAAAGTACCAGTATCAGCTGTTTCACAAATCCTATTAGCTGCCATTTCGCTTGCTGAGGAGTCTGAAAGCCGGTACATCTGATTCTAGCTTGACTGCCAAATAAACCTTGTTTTAAAAAAAAAAAAAAAAAAATTCCCATCAGTTTCACCAGCAGGGAATCAATATCCCAAGAGGAACGCTGCATGCAAGCATTGCATGTATGTGATATATATTTTTATATATTTGATTTGATGTTATAAGGCTGGCAGACGGTAGGTAACCCTCCACTGCTCTCCAAAGTTTAATTTGGAAGGTTATACATGAATGAAAGAAAATTCAGCTCCACTCAACAGCTGTACTTGAAGAATGTGAATTTATAAGGAAGGAAATAATGCATAACAGCTCGAGACTGGAATTCAACATTTAATGTGCGTCACATACTTTTGTTTAATCACTGTTTGTCTGTAAATCTGTCTGTCGAAGATCCATCCATTCACTGATCTGTCCATGCTCAAGTATCTATCAGTAGCAGAAAATCTGACACATAATAGAAATAAATGAGAACCAGTCACATATATTCAAAACTGGAACAAGACTCTTATAAAATGTACATATCAATGACCAAAATAAGTGTTATCAGAACCCACTGCATGGAGTCTCTACAAATAACTTCAAAATCATGCACTTCAACATGAGGGTCTGTGGAATATTGAATGGGGCAAGCATCTGGCATTGTACCTGTAGCCATGCTCTTCTAACCATGCTTTGCATGTAATGCGTCTATCTCATATATGTTTCCTCTTTTATGTTGCATTACTGTATCACCTGTACATGAAAAAGGTGGAGTGTCTCTTTATCTGTTTTGATTGCTGGATTCCCTATCTTGACATTAAAAGCTGTCAAAAAGCTATTAAAGTCCCTTTAAGCCCAGGACTTCCCACACCAATTTTGGTGGGGGGTGTGTTTTCTTTTTTTTTTTCTCTCTTCTCTCCTCCCTCTCCCCCTCTTCCCCTCTCCCTCACCTTTGTGTGAGGGGGTAGCCACAGGGCACCCTCCTTGCCCGCCGGTCGGTCCCAGTTATGCCTCAGGGGGACCGGGATAATCTGCACAACCGGGGACCCACTACAGTGGAAAAACCGCTTAAGCTGGGTTGTGTCTTGATCAATTGCAAGGGCCTGAATAACCCAGCTAAGAGGCACCGGGTCCTCAGATGGGGGAACAGGACCGGGGCGGACGTCATCCTTCTCCAGGAAACACACTTTGAGCATACGAGGGCTTTCCCTTTACGCAATAGACACTATACAGTGTGTCATTTAGCGAACTCACCCTCAGGTAAGCAAAATGGGGTAGCCTCTTCCCCTCCCATCACGTAATTATAGGGGGGGATTTCAACGTGGTTTCGGCTCCAGATTATGACAGGCGGAGGCGGGTCCGGACGGACTCCCACCAATCAT